CACCACTATGATGGGGACTAAACTAACGAGCCGCCATCCAACCATGGCATTTGTTCATGAACAATGGTTTTTTATACCCGTACATATTTGTATTACTAATGGATCCTACTAATTACGAATACAATGACGCTTAGACACCAAGACAAGGTTGGGGGGGGGGGGTGCGGTTGGCTCCCACCACTATGATGGGGACTAAACTAACGAGCCGCCATCCAACCATGGCATTTGTTCATGAACAATGGTTTTTTGTGTAGACTAATCATCGTTATTTGTCAAATTTTATCGTCCTTACGAAATGTTACTCCCCACCTTCCCCCACACTCGAACCCCGAAAAGCTTTGTCTACCACCTTTGATCGTTAAAGACTCACTTCTTTGGCAACCCGTTATCGACGCCATGCATGCTGGGATAGAAATTTCTTTAATGTTTGCCTTTTTTCCCCTCCATTAAAAAAAAATATTTAAAAAAATTAATTGAGTGACTTTGATTCACTGCTGAGTGGTCTCCCTTTGACCTCATAAATACCTGGACTCTGGTCACCGAAGATAATCTCCCTCTAGCCGAGTCAAAGTCTGCTTATAATATTTGACGGGAGTTAACACTCAGGCAGAAGACAATGAAAACAGACGCCTGGTGAGATGGTTTGTTAGACAAACAATTTGGAGGGATCAGAGTTCTGGGTCAATACAAACTTCCGCCTGGGAGAAAAATTTGTGTTCGTTTTTTTTCCCCCGTTTTTCTTAAAGTTGTTGTATCAGAGCGCATAACAGAAATGACGAGGTCTTGTTTCCGTCCCATGATACAAGCAACAACAACATTTATAATACGTTTGGTATGATTAACTTTTTTAATTTATTTTAAACACTACCACCCCAGACATTCACTGCCATTGAATTCTCGATGGCTCGTCAGATGGACAGACAGGGTCAGAAATAATTTGATTTGACAAGCTGCCAGGGATGTTCTTGTTTGGTTACCACAGTCTAGTGTTATCTTCTTCGTCTATATGTTAAGGGTCCACGATCAATTTATTGATCATTCTGGCTCCTTTACATGCAGAGGGGATTTGCAATGTTTCTGTGCCTGGTGTTGATGAGGATATTTCAATGGTTGCATGGGCTACTTATTAAGGGTATCATGCACTGGGGGTTGTAAGGCCTAAGGCAATCGACACAAATGTGTCAAGTGATGTCGCCTCGAATGTTCCTTTTGGAAGCTTGTTCTAGACTCTGATTGTCTTTGGCAGGAATGAGCAGTTTATATGCTGGGTTCTCACTGGTATGAGCCGGAATTGCCTGTCATGGCCTCGTGGCTGTCTATGGGGGAGAGGGACGAGTTTCTGTTTAATGCTGGAACAGTGGGCCAGCCCATTATTTATCTTGTGCATCATGGAGAGCCTGGATAGTCGTCGTCGTTTGGATTTCTAACCACACTCGCTGACAAAAAATGACTCCCTCCCCCCTGGGGGTCCCGTCCAGACCGTCGATGTGCCTCACACCGGGACCCGTGTTGACCCGCGCACTTGGCCAACTAATAGGCCGCAGATGTGTTTCGTTGTGTTAGAAAACAGGAAAGGTTACAGTTACCGCCCGTGACCGCCCAAGGGGTGGGAACTCTCATTGGAAACCCATGGAGATAACCATGGCGATATAGAATCGGAGGAAAAACGATGCACAACTCTGAATTTGGGTTTACGAATCCAACCAATGACCGAATGACCCACCGCCGGGATTTCCAACCATGGTGGTAAATGAAAAAAAAACAACTGAACTCCACAGGAGCTACAATAAATTGATGTAAGAGTTATACCCTAGGTGTGATGAAGAGTTATACCCTAGGTGTGATGAAGAGTTATACCCTAGGTGTGATGAAGAGTTATACCCTAGGTGGGATGAAGAGTTATACCCTAGGTGTGATGAAGAGTTATACCCCAGGTGGGATGAAGAGTTATACCCTAGGTGTGATGAAGAGTTATGCCCTAGGTGTGATGAAGAGTTATACCCCAGGTGGGATGAAGAGTTATACCCCAGTTGGGATGAAGAGTTATACCCTAGGTGTGATGAAGAGTTATACCCTAGGTGGGATGAAGAGTTATACCCCAGTTGGGATGAAGAGTTATACCCTAGGTGTGATGAAGAGTTATACCCCAGGTGGGATGAAGTGTTATACCCTAGGTGTAATGAAGAGTTATACCCCAGGTGGGATGAAGAGTTTTACCCTAGGTGTGATGAAGAGTTATACCCTAGGTGTGATGAAGAGTTATACCCTAGGTGTGATGAAGAGTTATACCCTAGGTGTGATGAAGAGTTATACCCTAGGTGTTATGAAGAGTTATACCCTAGGTGTGATGAAGAGTTATACCCTAGGTGTGATGAAGAGTTACACCCTAGGTATGATGTAAGAGTTATACCCTAGGTGTGATGTAAGAGTTATACCCTAGGTGTGATGTAAGAGTTATACCCTAAGGTGATGTAAGAGTTATACCCTAGGTGTGATGTAAGAGTTATACCCTAGGTGTGATGAAGAGTTATACTCTAGGTGTGATGTAAGAGTTATACCCTAGGTGTGATGTAAGAGTTATACTCTAGGTGTGATGTAAGAGTTATACCCTAGGTGTGATGTAAGAGTTATACCCTAGGTGTGATGTAAGAGTTATACCCTAGGTGTGATGTAAGAGTTATACCCTAGGTGTGATGTCAGAGTTATACCCTAGGTGTGATGTAAGAGTTATACCCTAGGTGTGATGAAGAGTTTTCTTGTGCCCTACCAATTCCACGATGCCATAGTCCGAATACGATTTCAGGTCACTGCTGCGAAAATTTTCGATACAGAGGCGTTTTGTCCCCCATACAGTTTTCAAATTTGTTTCGCGGTGTTGAACAGTTTTGTAGCATCCGAACATTGCTTCTGAATTTTGAGGGCAAAGGTCTATTAAAAAACGATATCAGAGTCTAGGATGAGTGACAGAGTGCGGATTCACCATAGAAGAGCAAACAAATCAATTTGATATCAATTACGCCAATGTCAGAAAAAACGTTATATTAGAGCCACCCATTAGGACTTTACAGCCATAGAGTTTTAGAGCCTCATATTAGGATATTAGGGCCTTAGAGCCACGCATTAGGACTTTGGAGCCGTAGAGTCTTATTTTAAGGACCTAAAAGACTTAGAGCCTCACACCAGGACGTAAGAGCCTCAATATCAGTACCTTAGTGCCTCATAGCCTCATATCAGACCCTTACAGCCCCATTATCAGGAAATTAGCGCTTCATATTAGAATATTAGGGCCTTAGAGTCTTATATCAGGACCTTAGAGCCTCATTATCAGGACATTAGAGTCTCAGGATCATGTAGCCTCATTTCATGACTTTAGAGCCTTAGAGCGACATTATCAGAACAGAAGGGACGGACACATGAATACTTGAAATATAAGAGTTTTGAAAAGACCATCCTCTTTCAAGATTTTGAATTTTTAAAAAAAAAATAATAATTTTGTAGTTTGCAATTGAAATGGTAAAGTTCTCAAGGGTCACAACACAGTAAGTTAAATACAGGAAATAATAAGGAAAGTGGTTGGGCAATATACAAGCTTTCGATGAGAGAGGAACCCATTTAATCTGAGCCGGCATCGAGAGTTTTAAAGTAAGTGGAGGGGGAAGAAGGGTGGTTGGAGGAAGGTTGGGGAGGGGGGCGCGCTGTGAATGATGCCTTTGCGATGATGAATGGGGCGCCAAAGCCAAAGTTCTGACGTTCTAAGACAAAAGACCCGTCCATCTTCAAAGGCTGACCAGCTCTCTCTTTCATTCTGCGCGGCGGAGTCCTGGCCCTTAATATCAACGGCTTCAAGACCCCCCCGCAACTCGTGATATGTAGCTGAGTGTGTGGCTAGGGACGACAACAAGATATTTAGAGAGGGCTGCTAGGGGCGAGAACTTGATATTTAGAGCTGAGAAATGCGGCGAGGGGTAACAACTCCTGACAAAAATATAACTGTACAGCTGAGTATTAAATGGTTTAGGAAAAATGTAGACGAACGCATATACTTGAAATAACCACTTGATGAGAGGTTCTCACTCCAAATATGACAGGCGACCTTCGTCACAAGTTTAGAGATATTATCTCTGTGTGACGAAACGTTTACAGATTCGTGTGTATATAAGGGTTCTCACCTAGTGAGTGAAAAATGTTTGTTTACCTGTATTAAATGATTTTAATTAATACTCTCCTTAAAACGAAAATTAACCTATAAAGTCCATGTTTTATATTACTAGTTTTAAAGTAGGTCAATATTCTTAATGAAAATTGGAATTTTCAGGCCGTTTAACCGTGAAAAACATTTTCAAAAATTCGAATGCTATGTAAAGGGAGTTAAAAATGAAAAATATTAGATTGTATTCTTAACAGAGTGGCCTGCGCTTGGTGGCACACTTCGATAAATTCGATTTTTAGTTGTGTGTTTTTTTGTTTTTTTTAAAACTAATAAGGTTTAAAAGGTGGTGAAAAGGATCAAATTCTTCAAACAGGGAATATTCATTACGCTTTATTAAATTTCTAAGAAATGTTGTATTAAATGTTGTATTTAATTTCAACTAAACAGTGGAATACGAAACAACCAATTCTTCTGGTTCGAGGCGCAGGACTATAAAAGAGATTAGCATGTTTTAAATAACAGGTGGGCTGGAGGGTGGGGCGCAAATAAATCACTGACCCACAAAGTAAACAAATTCCAAAGTAAAAAATACCGGTAATATGAATTTAAGTTAACTAAATAATTTGAAAATTCATGATTTACGCACCACGAGATAGACAGGGAAAAAACAACAACAGCTATTTATTAGTGTTCTAAATTTGTAAAATATGCCCCCGTCCACCATCCCCTGAACTTTTGTTGACCCTCTATGCCAAAATGTAATAACCCTTGATAAAACAACTTCATTGTCTTCCACCATATGCATTGTTTCCATTGGAGTTTCCAATAAACTATAAATAGACTTCTAAGAAAATGCTGAAAGGTCTTTTCCTAAGGAACTGGGTCAATGTTATTTTCATAAAAATGGAACAACCCGAAGTGACGAAACGCTTGTAATTTAACTGCTAACAGTTTTTGTTTACATTTTGTGTCAAAATCTTTCAAACAAAGATTATTTTATATTGAGTTATCGTGTGTTTGTGTTTTAAAGAGAGTGCCACTATCACGCCATGTTCTACTGGCTGATTGTAACACTCAGAGGTTGGCTCTATTCGGTTTTCATTGGTTTGATACAAGCCTATTATAACAGGTAAGACGAAGTTCAGTTGTGTGTTAGACTTAACATCTGGGTGGGTAATACAAACCCAAGTTGTGTGTTAGACTTTATATTTGACAGGGTAGAAAAAGTCTAGTCGCGTTTTAAACTTGACACCTGACAAGGGTAAGACTAATGAGCTTTGGTCTTTTGCACTACATGATTCTGTTTTATTTCATAACCGTGTCCAGTGTTGTTGACTCATATTTTAGATTCATTTATAAAAAGCAATGAACATATCTTCAAAAAAATCTAAAATTTGACATGAATTGCTAAGCCGCTTAGTTAATGAATGTATATCCTAATTGTAGCCATGGTAACACACACACACACACATACACACACACACATGTAAAAGTTATTTTAATTCTCTATTTTTATTTGATCAAAACTCTCTAGTATCTATCATCTGGATTATTCGATACTTTATACTTCGATATTAAGTCACATAAACGTACATTATGATTTAAGGACTCATGATTGATCAAACTATCTTCATAAACAGTGCTAGTCAGGGGTCAAGAACACACAACTCTTAATGATGACGGTGTTTTACATTTCATTGATTAATTCCCATTTCATTCATGGGCATCTTCGACCTGTTTGGAATAAGAGATGACTGTGAATTATGCATGTACAAACACTTCCAAACATGTATGCTTGTATCAAGCAGTAAAAACATCGTACAATTTTAAGATTTAAAAAATGTAAAAAAAAAATATATTTTTTTTAACTTAAAGAATAAAAAAACAAAAAACTAGGATATTTACAGTTAACATTTAAATGCATTTTCTAACAACCAGACGTACTCAATTAACAACAAGATCTAAATGCCAAGTACGAGATTTACATTTGATACACAGTGGTGTAACCAGAGTAACCAGAGGCATCCATAGGGTTGGCGCCCCCCCCCCCCCCCCCCCCCCCCCCCCCACCCCCCCCCCACTTGAACTGATCTTAACACCACATCATACAAAATCACATATTATATTATTCGTCAATTAAGTTATAGAGCAATGTCATCCGTACGAAAAACCATAGATTGTTGGGTGAAAAGCATAAAGAAATTAATCATCAAAACTGCATTGTATGGAAAAATTAAAAACTTACAGTAAAAACATTCCTTTCAAAGCTGTCACTGAGTTCATCTCAATCAGGGGTCGGGAACCTTTTTGTCTGAGAGCGCCATGGACACCACATATTTTGAAAAATAATTCTGTTAGAGCCGTACATTAATTTTAAAACTAAAAATTGTAGAAAATTTGTAGAATGGAATATTGGTATGCAATTAATATGCCGATCAAAGGAGTCTGAAGAAATATTTTTTTTAAAAATAATCGAACATTTTTCTGGGAGCCAGATGCAGCCATCAATAGAGCCACATCTGGCTCGCGAGCCATAGGTTCCCGACCCCTGATCTAAAGCAACATACTTCACCTTACAACTTTTAATTGACAAAAATACCCCCAAAAAATCATGGGATGTGGTTCCATAGACACACAGGTTATCAGAAATATTCGTTCAGTTAATGGGAGCATTGGGAGATATTCTAGGAAGTTCCATTCACATTTTGAATGTCAAAACTTCAAATGTTGACCAACCCTTGGCTTCGGCGAGATTAACACGTCCTGATTTTGGATATCTTCAAACTTCAAACTTCACATTAAAAGTTCACATTAAAAGTTCACATTAAAAGTTCACATTCATAGAAAGTGAACGTGGTCGGCTTTGGAATGGACACGAGTAACTCTTCATCATTGGATGATAAGAAAATCTTTGCTTCAACAGCTGCAACAAAATGTATGTTACTTTCTTGACAGCTCTTGGAGTTCACAGGGAAAACGATCAATGACCTCAAGCATCACACTCTTGTATTTACTTGGCAAATGGAGTCCGGAGTATCTCTTGACTGCTTTCATGGCGTTTTCTTCTTGAACCTTGATCTTCTCTCTACCGACAGTCCGTATTGGCCTACTCTTGAAAATGCTTGTTCAATGCTATGCTCCACTATTTGACTGTGCTTATATCGCACCGGCAGGGATCACCCCTTTATCAAAAGTAAAGCCTTTGATACTCAGATGTTGCTGAGTAGGATCAGGCTCCTCAAGTATATCAGACAAAAAGTAAAAGTAGCAGAGAAGCGTGAAATCACAGAAAGAAAAGACTTTGTGGTGTACTTCGTGCGTTCAAGGCCTAGTGGTTTACTTCGTGTATCAAGGACATTGTGTGTACTTCATGCGTTAAAGACCGAATGGTGTACTTCGTGCGTCAAAGACCTAGTGGTGTACTCCGTGTATCAAGGACCTTGTGTGTACTTCGTGCCTCAAAGACCTAGTGGTGTACTCCGTGTATCAAGGACCTTGTGTGTACTTCGTGCCTCAAAGACCTAGTGGTGTACTCCGTGTATCAAGGACCTTGTGTGTACTTCGTGCCTCAAAGACCTAGTGGTGTACTCCGTGTATCAAGGACCTTGTGTGTACTTCGTGCCTCAAAGACCTAGTGGTGTACTCCGTGTATCAAGGACCTTGTGTGTACTTCGTGCCTCAAAGACCTAGTGGTGTACTCCGTGTATCAAGGACCTTGTGTGTACTTCGTGCCTCAAAGACCTAGTGGTGTACTCCGTGTATCAAGGACATAGTGGTTTATTTAATGCGTCCAACACCTAGTGGTGTACTCCGTGCATCAAGGACCTCGTAGTGTACTTCATGCGTCCATGACCTAATGGTGCACATCGTTCGTCCAAGACCTAGTGGTGTACTTCATGTATCAAGGACCTAGTGGTGTACTTCTTGGGACCAAGACCTAGTGGTGTACTTCATGCGTTCAAGACCTAGTGGTGTACTTCGTATATCAAGGACCTACTGGTAAAGGTTTTGTGGCCAAAATTTTCACGAAGGTCATAGTGCTTTAATGACCACCACACATTGATCAAACTTGTCTTTAGATTGTTTTAATGCAGCATGATCAACTCTCCAGCGTGTTGATGATAGTCTTTTCACTGCCATTCCAGCGTGTTGTTGAAAGTCTTTTCACTGACATTCCAGTGTGTTGTTGATAGTCGTTTTACTGACATGACAGTGTGTTAAATTAAAATGTCTCCTCTATAAGTGGAAGCCGAAAAGAGAGTACCAAAAGATGTTACACATGATGCCATGTGAGCAAAAGAGTGTCGACCACACACGTTGAGTGGCTGATCCAAAAAATACATTTAAAAATGGCTTTCTTGTTCTTTCCTTTCAGTAGTGCTTGCACACATCCATGAATACGATACGCTGTGGCAACATCATTTGAATCATTTGTAACCTTGAACTCGGCGCATTATTATGTTCAGTCCATCACTTTACAGTTTTTTAAAGTTAAAAAAAAACAAACAAACTAGAGCAACGTCTCTCTTCAGTTTTCAGATCGAGGATTGTTACATATCTGATCACCTCAGTCATCTGGTCAGTATCTGATTGGTACGTTCTGCTGTTGAACATGACTCGAAAATACTTCTCAGACAAGCATATATATCCATGACAAGCATCCCCTTAACATAATTTGTCAGAACATTCATAAGTATATTCTGAGTTTTTGGTGCCAGATAAGATGCATATACTTTAAACATGGTGGCACCCTGCTCTTGTAATATCTTAGATATTTTATTAACCGGACTTGAGTGACCTCTGTCAAATATTCAATTTTTCATTTGTGTGTCCCCCCCCCCCCCGCCCCCTGTGAGGTTGTCACCCGCCGGTGCTGCCACACCCCATTCACTCGCTAGTTACGCCACTGTGCGTTACGTAACCCTGTTACATTATTAATTAAACATGGTGGCCCCCTGCTCTTTTAATTTCTTAGATATTTTATTAACCGGACTTGAGTTACCTCTGTCAAATATTCAATTTTTCATTTGTGTGTCACCCCCCCCCCCCGCCCCCTGTGAGGTTGTCACCCGCCGGTGCTGCCACACCCCATTCACTCGCTAGTTACGCCACTGTGCGTTACGTAACCCTGTTACATTATTAGGAGTGTCTTTGCAAACATTTGTATGATAATAGGCCCGTCTTTAAGCCACTTGGACAAAAGTTAGTCATCATCATCTTTGTCTTTATAGTAGAGAAAATTATAATATAAAAGTGAAGACGATTTCATGATTTTTTTCTTTGGATTGTATTTTCAAATAATTTAGGAAGCGTGGGAGAAGGGTGTTGTATATAAGCATGAAAAGGGCCGGAATCGGTCCGCAGGTCGGAGTCTTAGCATGGCCTACTTAACACTTCATATCGGATCATTTTTTTATGATTTGTATCCATAGGCGGCAACTAAAACAGGAGAGGAGGCAGCTGAAATTTGAAAGAAAGATTGGACGTCTGGAATGTGCCACATCAAACAGTCAGGTAGAATAACATTAATTTTGAAAGTATCACCTCACTTCCATCAAAAACGCATCAAGATAAATAAATACAATAATAATACAGACTTTCTTCCAACGTTTCAATAGTTTTGCCAAGATCGTTACAAAAAAAAAAAAAAAACAACTTGTTTGTGTTTGTAAGCGACTGAGTTCAAATGGACTATTAATGTAACTGATTATTAAAAAAATCATTTTAGGTTAGTGCAAATTTGATATCTCAAAAAAGTGCTTTAAATTAAATGAAAGCGGCAGTCTGGAAGCTCATAACCTTTTTAAAAAAAAAAAAAAAAAAAAAAAAAATTGTGCTTTTTTTTTTTTTTAAATGATCTTTTCTCTTTGTTATAATTTCTGCAATTGAGGCAACTTAAACATTTTAAAATAATTATTATGTGTCGTATTCCTGGCCATCGCAGTGCATAACCAGCTCCTGCCAGGCAAGAAGACAGAGGAAATGGGAAAGGAAAGCTGACAAGTGGTCTCTGAAAGCGGCCATGTTGCCTAGCAGACGCACGTCACGGGACATTACTGTACAGGCATCGGGAAGAGTGAACTCCCTGGCCTATGAGCAAACCGTGAGCCCTAATATGACGGAGTGGGAAAATGACGGCCCACCACCGTCTTATGATGAGGCCTGCACAGACCTCCCGACATATCTAGAAGCCACGGCACCCCTGGGAGAATTCGTGAACTGAACTGTAAGATTGAAAGAGAAACGGTCAAACTTCATTGGTCCAAATGTTAGAGGTCAACAATCCGAGCGATCCTCCTTCACGTTATCTCAGAAGTCTTTCATGAACTCGAACGATGACATCATTGCAGTTAGAATGTCATGTTAGATTAAAAAAAAAACATAGACAGCGTGATACCATGTGTTTGTTTAACTTAAGTCATTGACAGCGTGACACCATGTGTTTGTTTAACTTAAGTCATTGACAGCGTGACACCATGTGTTTGTTTAACTTAAGTCATTGACAGCGTGACACCATGTGTTTGTTTAACTTAAGTCATTGACAGAGTGATACCATGTGTTTGTTTAACTTAAGTCGACATTGCTTTTGATGATAAACTCTACTGTTTAAAACAAAATATTTTCTTTGAAGCATTTTTCAATAGTAAAAAAAAAGATATTGAAAACAACCATTTGCTGCGTTTTGTCTTTTGTGTAGTAATGTCTTGCTTTTTTTGGAGATATTACCGTATGTAGGTTCTAAGAGTGTGAGGGCTCATTGCATTTTAAAGAGAACAGGTTCAGATTTTAGATACTGTTAAAAACTAATAGTCAACATTTAACACAAATTTGTGGTGTGACTTTTGTACGATACTGACCTAATGCTGAATTTTAACAAAATTTTGTTGAATGGACAGAAAAGTCGAACTTCTACAGTATTTACTAAATCATTGAACAGATTGTTTTGAAGTTTGTCGTAACCAAAAATAAGCTACAGCTTAAGGTCTTCACTGGCAACTTCGTGATGATGAGAGTGGAGGGTAATGTCCATTCCTACTGAAATGTTCTGGCTGATTTTAATACTGAGAGTGGAGAGTAATGATCATTCCTACTGAAATGTTCTGGCATATTTTAATACTGAGAGTGGATGGTAATGATCATTCCTACTGAAATGTTCTGGTTGATTTTAATACTGAGATTGTTTGTTAATGATCATTCCTACTGAACTGTTCTGGTTGATTTTAATACTGAGAGTGGAGGGTAGTGATCATTCCTACTGAAATGTTCTGGTTGATTTTAATACTGAGATTGTTTGTTAAACTCCGCCGTAGCCGGTCCCAAGCCCGGGTGAGAAAGGAGGAGGGTTGGGCGAAGGGCTAGCAACCCTTCCCTGTAAAAAAAGCCCTGCTACAAAAACACAAAGAAAGATTTCAAAAGGAAACTCGGACCTTGGAAAGGATGGGTCTCCTAACAGAGAATTAATGAAGCTGGGTGGCCAAAGCCAACTGGAAACCAACCGGCGGACAACCATCCTCTCCACTAGGACCACCACCAGTCTAGGAACATGGAACGTAAGGACCATGTTCGAAACTGGAAAAACTGTCCAAGTTGCTGCTGAAATGCAAAGATACAAACTAGCCATCTTGGGAATAAGTGAGTCTCGATGGATAGGCTCAGGTCAGATAAAGCTCAACACAGGGGAACTGCTGCTATATTCAGGCCACGAAGATGAAAATGCGGCGCACAACCAAGGAGTGGCACTCATGCTTTCCAGAACTGCCCAGAACGCACTTATAGGGTGGGAAGCGCATGGTTCCCGTATAATCACGGCAAGATTTAAGACAAAAAAACGAAAAATCAATATGGACATCCTACAGGTGTACGCTCCTACCAACGATAGTAAAGAAGAGGACAAAGAGGATTTCTACAACAGACTGCGAACCCTGGTCCAAAGGTGTCCTAAGAGCAATATGGTTATACTCATGGGCGACCTAAATGCGAAAATAGGCAGCAACAATAAAGGCTATGAAGAATGCATGGGAACACATGGTATGGGAGAGATGAATGAAAATGGTGAAAGACTAGCAGATCTATGTGCTACAATTGGACTAGTCATCGGAGGAAGCCTCTTCATGCATAGAAATATCCACAAGGCCACATGGATTTCACCAGATATGTCAACGGCTAACCAAATTGACCATTTCTGTATTTGCAATAAGTTTAGACGGTCGCTCCAAGATGTTAGGGTAAAAAGAGGGGCAGATGTAGCCTCAGACCATCATCTAATTATTGCCAAATTAAGGCTGAAACTGAAAAAGAACTGGACAAGCGAGGGAAGCAAGCGCCAACATTTTAACATCAACCTCTTGAAAGATGAGTCCAAGCTAAAGGAGTTTAAACTTACCATCTCCAATAAGTTCCAGATCTTACAGGAACTAGGCAATGAAGAAACAATTGACAAAAACTGGAAAGAAATCAAAGAGATATTCACGACTACCTGTGAAGAAGTGTTGGGCCCTAGGCAACAAACGCATAAAGAATGGATTTCGGCTGAAACCATGGAAAAAATCCAATATAGGAGAAAGAAGAAGGCAAATCTAAACAATAGCCGCACCAGAACCGAAAAGGCCAGAGCATCAACAGAATACTCAGAAGCAAATAAAGAAGTTAAACGTAGTATAAGGACAGATAAAAAGAACTACATAGAAGGATTAGCAAGTGAAGCAGAGGAGGCTGCGTACCATGGAAACACAAGAGAATTATTCAGTACAATCAAAAAGTTATCTGGAAAGTTCAACAATCCAGTGAGACCAGTTAAAACTAAAGATGGGAAATCAATACCTGATGAAGAGGGTCAGAAAAAAAGATGGATAGAACATTTTGAAGAACTCCTCAACCGGCCAGCACCACAACACACACTCAACATAGAGCCAGCGGAAAAAGATCTAGAAATAGAGTGCAGCACACCCACAAAGCAAGAAATATGCAGAGCAATTAAACAACTAAAGAAAGGCAAGGCGGCAGGTCCTGACAGAATACCGACAGAAGCCTTGACAGCAGATATTACGTCTAGCACTGAAATGCTACACACACTATTCAAGAAAATATGGGAGGAGGAACAGATACCGGCTGAATGGAAAGAAGGACACCTCGTTAAGCTCCCGAAGAAAGGAGACCTTAGTTCTTGTTCTAACTATAGGGGAATAACCCTGCTGTCGATCCCAAGCAAAGTATTCAACAGAATGCTGCTAAACAGAATGAGGGAGGCAATAGACATCAATCTTAGGGACCAACAAGCAGGGTTCAGAAAAGACAGATCCTGCACAGACCAGATTGCCACACTGAGAATTATTGTGGAACAATCTCTGGAGTGGAACTCGTCACTATACGTCAACTTCATTGACTATGAGAAGGCTTTTGACAGTGTCGACAGACAGACTCTGTGGAAGCTGCTTAGACACTACGGGGTACCACAAAAATTGACAGACATAATTAAGGCTTCTTACGAAGGACTATCGTGCAGAATTGTCCACGGCCAGCAAACAACGGCGGCTTTTGAGGTACAGACCGGTGTCAGACAGGGGTGTCTGCTCTCGCCTTTCCTATTCCTGCTGACCATTGATTGGATAATGAAAATGTCTACAGAGCAGAAGAGAAATGGTATTCAGTGGACACTATGGAAACAACTTGATGACCTGGATTTTGCGGATGATCTGGCCCTAGTATCACACACACAGCAACAGATGCAAGAGAAAACCAATTATGTAGCACAGTACTCTGCTTGCATCGGCCTGAACATCCACAGAGGAAAAAGCAAAGTCCTTAAAATAAATACATCAAGCAACACACCTATAGCACTGGAAGGAACAAACCTTGAGGAGGTGGATAGCTTTACATACCTCGGCAGCATCATTGACATACAAGGAGGGACAGACGCCGACATAAGAGTGAGAGTTGGTAAGGCAAGAGCGGCATTTAACCAGCTAAAAAAGGTCTGGAGCTGCAGCAATTTGACCCTCCAGACCAAGGTCAAGGTATTCAACACCACAGTGAAACCTGTCTTGCTATATGGGGCAGAAACATGGCGAACAACAGCAGCTGGTTCAAAAAAGCTACAGACCTTTATCAACTCATGTCTCCGAACGATTTTACGAATCCGCTGGCCCACCGTCATCACCAACGAGGATCTCTGGCGGCGCACACAACAAGAACCAGTGGAAGAGTTAATCTGCCAGCGCAGATGGAGATGGATTGGCCACACCCTCAGAAAGCCCGCATCAAGTATCACGAGACAAGCCCTGACTTGGAACCCCCAGGGTAAGAGAAAAAGAGGTCGACCCAAAACAACTTGGAGAAGGGAACTGGAGGCAGACATCAAAAAGAGTGGGCACAACTGGGGACAGTTGGAGAGACTTGCCCAAGACCGGGATGCCTGGAGAGCCTTTGTTTGTGGCCTATGCCCCAGACGGGACGACAGGCGATGATGATGATGATTGTTTGTTAATGATCATTCCTACTGAAATGTTCTGGCTGATTTTAATACTGAGAGTGGATGGTAATGATCATTCCTTCTGAAATGTTCTGGCTGATTTTAATACTGAGAGTGGATGGTAATGATCATTCCTACTGAAATATTCTGGCTGATTTTAATACTGAGAGTGGAGGGTAATGATCATTCCTACAGAAATGTTCTGGCTGATTTTAATACTGAGAGTGGATGGTAATGATCATTCCTACTGAAATGTTCTGGCTGATTTTAATACAGAAAAGGTGTCACGTTATCGGAAAGAATTATAATCTGCCACGTAGTTCTAAGCCTATTTATTCACAATGAGAAAACAATTACTTTAAAAGAAATCACGTGCTAAGGACATAGCGAAACGTTAATTTGTGTATCTCTAATCCCCGATGTGTGCTGGCTCCGGGAATTTTAACAAAGCGACACTTTAAAAAATTGGGTAATTTTCCTTGTGATCTATGACCTTTGAGCTTTATGATCAAATCAGATTACCCTTTCAAGTCAGGAGAAGTGATGGAAAACTTAGATGTTCACATATCCCATTGTTGTATGTGGAAACTATTTCTTCCTATCGTAAATTTCGCTTAAAATATATGTTGTAAGAAAAAGAAGAACATGTGATGCATATCTATTTAAGCAAAAAGTCAATTGCTCTTGTTGGTTTTGTCTAAACCTCGTAGCTCACTTAAAAAGTAAGGGGGACAATCCCACAGTGTTGTCGCCATTTAGCTCATCCACTTGATGTGCATTCACTTCCATGAATAAAACAATAGAAACCAACAGCATGGGGCGTGAGAAAGTGTCCGGTGTAAAAAAAAAAAAAGGGCTATTTTGAGCGTAACTTAAGGGAAGGGGGGGGTGGTTGGCGTATCCCAGCGACAGTTTCTGTAAAAATCAAATAGCTGACGCCATGGTGCGCTGTTTGACATTGCCGCACTTTTTAAAGTGTTTTTAAAAGACCAAAAGACGCGTTTTTACCACCTTGTTGACCATTTTAGAGAACATTTGAAGACTCCATTTTTTGAATAAGCGACCATTTCTATTTCCTGACATTTTAATTGTGACTACCACCATGGGATGAGATGGGATGAGATGGGCCACTTCAGTCTTCAAGTGTTGAGATTTAATTAAGTCAGCCAGCATATGACGCTCTGTTTCTAATTTGAAACCCGG